AAATAATGGGGTCTTAATTATTACATATAATTATTATGTGAAGAATATTGCTTCCTGTGATAAAGTATTTTTAAGAAATCCACATTTAATTTCACTAGACTCACAGAGAAAATTACAGGTATCTGATGGATGGAGTAACAACAGAATAATATATCTATGTAACAGTTTAAACACAAACATGTTGGCATTTGTTGCAGTAGTTAGATCTGTAAGAGATTCTCTTTCTGGATTCTTATTTTACATCTGAGGAAAAAGATCTAGGAAAGTTAAGATCTGAGTCACACTCAAATCTGTGAACAACTATCCCAGGGCTTTTTTCTTATCTACTACAATCTCTGAGAAAATGTGACTGGTAACGGGAGCGTGTTGTTTTACCTCTGATACTTGTAAACACTTCGTAAACCAAGTAGCTTAACTTTCTGGTTTTCAGAATAACACACTTAAAACAATGAGAAACTAAAAAAGAATAGCATATGTTTCTAAGAGAGTGGTGTGAAATCGATCACTTTTAGATAAATTATGGGTATAGCAATACACAGTAACTTTGATTAAAAGAAAAATCAATGTTTAAGTACCATTCAGCTGATATTAAAGAATGAAGAGAATATAAGTATTACAAGGATCCATGGATTAATTCTCCACTAGTTTTTGATCCTTTATCTATCTCATTGATAGTTGGTGCTCCAGCAGATGAGCTCAGATCACTTTTACCTGTTCCCATTTCCATCCTCCATCTTCTGTGTGTTTTGCTTTTAAAAGCTTGTTCCTATGACTGACCATCTTTAGAGACCTAAACGTGTGCTTCTGGAGCTACTTCCAGAGAACCAGAAGGGCCTAAGACTTTTTCTGCATGCCAAACATGCATTCCCAGTAATGCCTGTAGGCAATGATGGACTGCAGTCAGGTGGAAAAGTCCAGCCCCTTTGTCTTAATAAAATAAACTCTGAGATGTAATTTATAATCCAGAGCTTCCCTTGGTCACGTTGAGTTTCATGGGCAGCACCTCCCTTCACAATCCTGCTGCCCCCATTTCCTTGTAGTTCTCCTAGAAGCTTTCTTAATTAGTCACTTGTACAAAAATAGTCATCTCAGGGTCTGCCTTTGGGAAGATGAATACTAAAGCTATTCATCCATCCATCCATCCAACCATCTATCCATCCATTCATATTTATGTATATTTGCCACCTCCCTCTCCTTCCCTGCTCCCACCCTCTCAAATAGGCCACACTTGAAACAGCCCAGTGTGCATCCTATTCTCTTCTATATTTTTCTAGACTTATATAATCACACAAAAACATTCACTGAAGGAAATGATAATAATTCTCTCTAAATCACTAGAAGAAATGAGCTAAAAAAATGGCTAAAATGAGGGGCACATTCTTCCCTTCCTCTCTGCCCTTTCAGTGCAGACACAGAGCTTGACATCAGTATGCCCCTGAGGATCTAGGGGCAGACTTCACTATTCTTATAGATTTACCTTCCCACATTTTCCTACTTTTTCTAAGTCCAAAGATACTGTCTTCTTCATCTAGTCCCTATATAGGATTTATAGCTCTTCATTAAAATACTTTGTATAGATGCAAATTTGACAAACAAGTGGAATAGAGACCCCAGACATAAAACCATATCTCTACCACCAGCCGATTTTGACAAAGCAGACAAAGACATACACTGGGGAAAGGATTCCCTAGCGAATAAAATACTTTTTAAAGAAGATTCCCATGCTACTGCCTTGTGAGAGAAATACTTATGAACTGAGGACTCTCTCTTGTGATGGTACAGTATGTATTATGACCTTTTTCATGTTTTCATTAATCGACTTGTTTCAATTGTGTGTCTCAACTAAGAACTTAAAAAAGGAAAGCAAAGAAGTTACATCTTTCCCCCTATGCACATGTGAGCAAATATCTGTGTCTCCAACATGGGATCATATGTATATATACTTTTTCGTATCTTGCTTTACTTACTGAATAATATTTGATTCCCAATGAATAAGAAATTAGCAATTTTATTTATTTATTTGAGACATAATCTCACTGTGTTGCCCTGGGTAGAGTGCTGAGACATCATAGCTCTCTGCACTTCAAACTCTTGGGCTGAAGCAATCCTCCTGCCTCAGTTTCCTGAGTAGCTGGGACTGTAGGCTCCTGCCACCATGCCTGGCTTGTTTTATTTATTTTTTTAGAGGAGATGGGGTTTTGTTCTTGCTCAGGCTGGTCTCAAACACTTGAACTCAAGAAACTCACCTGTCTCATCCTCCCAGAGTATTAGGATTACAGGCATGAGCCACAGTGCCCAGCTGGAAATTAGCACTTTTAACTGAGTTTCATTGTACCCTAGTTATAAGTTATTATAAATTTTTATGATTGGAATGAGAAATTATTTCCTAGGTATAGATATTTAAAATATCTAGCTAGAATTTGAAGTCATAGTAGGAACAAGTTTTACCATTAGCAATCATTTTATATTCTCTCTTAAAGATTTTGATATCCTGATGTCTTTGATTGGTTGCCTATACCTTGTGTATTTATGTGTAAAAGGGTTATTATTTGGTTTGTACATAATTCTCATGCTATTATTTTCTGATTCTATGTTGTATTATTTTCCAAACATTTCTCTAATCCTTACATAAATAATTTTTAATACTGATTTAGTGCTTTTCATCTTTAGGTCTGTTTATAATTAATCTTTGCAACCAATAAGAAGAGTTGATATCTTTATTCTCACCTTATAAATGGGAAGTCTAGGATGTAGGATGATTAATTGACTTTTTCCTGGCCACAAGCATAACGAGTCAGAGTGAGAATATGAATTAGAAATCCTTGGTGTCCACCTCCATGTTTAGTCCATTAGCAGTGGATTATTGCGATTTTATTACAAAATAAATCCCTTCATAACATTATCTATTCCATCCTTAAAATAGAATTTAAGTAATAATGCCAAATGATACACATTTAAGAATAATTGTGAATATTACATTTAATTACTATCATATAGAATCTTAGAGATTTCTAAGCTTTGATTGGATGACTGCTGTTCCCTTTTCATTGAATCTTGCAGGTATTGCCCTTACTTGCAAATATTGCAAACTATATTTCAACCTCAAACGTGCAAAGTATAAATGACTATACAAAGAGAATGTAATTTTTCTTTAGGTAAACTATAACCTTTATAAGACACAGAGAAATATTTTGATTCTGAAAAGTTGATTGTATATTTGTGTGTGTTACTTTTGAAGTGATTGAATTTTGACTGTGAGAGATCTATTTGCACTAATTTAAATAGAATGAATACATATAATTTTTGTGACAGCATGCTACAGGTTGGAACATTTGAAAGGCTAGCTAAATGGATTGCTGAGCACGTACTAGTCAGGCTAATTTGCAGAATCTGTAATCCAATTTACACTCAGTAAATGTCTCCTTTCTTAGGCCATGGATTTATCCATGTCTGTTAATGATAATGACAGTTTCCACTGACTACACAATGTTGAAATTACTAGAGTACCAAAAATGGATTCAGCTATGCTGCTAACACACCTCGCCTTTTACCAAACCTAGTTTATTGGGAAGCAGAGAATAAAGAAAGGCAGCTTTTATAGTTTGAATGTTTGTCTCCTCCTACACTCATGCTTAAATTGAATTGCCATTATAATGGTATTAAAATGTGAAGCCTTTAAAAGATGACTAGGCCATGAGGTCTCTGCCCTGATGAAGGGATTGCTACTCTTACTGTGGGAATGAATTTGTTATTACAGGAGCGGATTCCGTACAATGAGTTTGGTCCCCTTTTACACCCTCTCATTCTTTCTTTCCCTATTACCACAAGATGACAAAGAAGTCCCTCGCCACCTCTGGTTTCTCCATCTTGGCTTCCCAGCTTACAGAACATGAGCCGATAGCTTTCCGTCTGTTATACGTAACCTAGTGTATCACTGCTCTGCACGAAGTGAACTAAGACAGCAGGGTTCTATTTTCCCTCTTGCCTTATATTAATCTTTCTTTAGAAGAAACCTAGATTTCTATATGATATTCCTTTGCTTCTAGTGACAGTAAACTACAGAACTATAAGATGTTTTTTCTTGGGTGGTGCCTATGGCTCAAAAGGATAGGGCACCAGCCCCATATGCCAGAGGTGCCAGGCACAAACCCAGACCTGGCCAAAAAAAAGAGATGTTTTTTCTTATCATAGTATACCACTGGAAATTACGTATGATTTTTACATTTAATTTTTTAATTTGATGCTCCTTTTTGTCAGTATAATAGAAGGAGCATATGGGAATTGACTATGTAGTCTATTGTGGTTTTGTTGCTAAGACTATCATAATGATGAGGAATAGGGGTAAAAAGTACGAAGAATGAACATAATATAATAAATATAAGAAAGTATATAATTTAAGGAAATATAATAATGGAGAACATCTTTAAATGACAAAAACCGAAATCAGGATTCACAGTTACTGTATCAACTAAATTTGTCCTGGTAGCCTTTTATAAAATGAAATAGCCGACCCAATGTCAAGAAAATGTTTAATTAATAAGCTATAGTCCACTTATCCCTTAAATCATACTTTTAAAATTATATTATCCTATAACTTTCAACTCATTTGCAAAGGATATGTGCTCATCGAATTTGCTTTATGTTAGAGTAATTCAATATTAAAATTTCTTCCCAACTGAATTTTAGAAACAATGCCATGGCAATGAAACTGTAAGTTGTAAGGATTTTTACTTCTCGCAGAATCATAAAACTCCCTAGAGTAAATCATGACAGGGATGAACATCTTGCATCTTCTAGTTTAATCTGACATAAAACAAGATCAATTAATTAAGAAATTATAAATGCATAAGTTGGAGAGGATTCCAAGAAACAGTACATGTGAGGGTAGGCCAACGAAGAACAGGTTTTAAAATAAAATAATATAGTGTAACAACATGCTCAATATATCCGTATATATGCATATATATGTAGTTTTTTAGGAAGCTCCAAATGAGACCTACTTTCTCATAGTACTTGATCTCGTAGTCCAGAATGGCTCCATTGGAAAAAGCAGGTGCTTGCCAAGATAGGGCAATGCTATTTTGGGAGGCCCAGTCCTTCCTTACCACACCTATCAGGGAAGGTGCTGAAAGGAGAGAAAATAACTAAGAATTAATTGGCAGGAATCATTTTTCCATAATCTGTTTTTTAATATTTTCTCTTCCAAGGAAAATATTGTTTTTGTTGAAGAGGACACAAACTGTTAATGCCAGGTTAGTACAATAGCCTCAGGGTCTGTACAGTGAAATCCAAATAAGATACAAAAACATATTTAGAAACACTATTAGGGAGAGTAGCAAAAACTCAAATATTCCAAGAATAAGGACTGGAACTCATCTTATTTGGTCAGGTTAGAGGAAGACATTTTTCTTTAGATTGGCTTTGGTCTCAAACTATGACATAAAGTACAATATACTTGGTTCCTGTATTTTATCATTTCTTAACTTCCTATACCCCAAATTCTGAAATTACAAGAAAATTTATGGTCCTTTCATTCTTTGCAAGACATCTTAGTACTTTATAAAAGTTTACATCGTGAACTACATAATTATAATAAATTCTTGCTTATGAATGTGAAGGTTACTTTTTCTTCACAGTTTCTGTGGCATTTTAGTAACATTAAAATATTTTCACATTATTTTCAAAATCATGTCTATCTTATTTTCAAAAATCATGTTATTTTCAAAATCATGTCTATCTTATTTTCCTATATAACATTTTAACAGTCCAATCCTGATAGACCCTGTGTTAGACTTCCAATGTGTAACTAAAATGTATACGTGACAGATTTTCTATGTACCTTTCACAAAACAGTTTTCAAGTATTCTAATTTTAAAGTATCTGATGTAGAATTTTAAACTCACAGATAAGAAGAAATCCAAATTAAACTACACAAAGATACCATTTCTCATCTATTAGATGGACCCCAAATTCTAAAAGTTTAGCAAGCTACTCTGTTGGCTAGGCTGTGAATACCCTACTCTGTTGGCTAGGCTGTGTATACCCTACTCTGTTGGCTAGGCTGTGTATACCCTACTCTGTTGGCTAGGCTGTGTATACCCTACTCTGTTGGTTAGGCTGTGTATACCCAAAAAACCACTTTGAAACATTGTTGGTGGAAATGCAAAAGGGTACGACTCTTGTGAAGGGAAACAACAATTTAAGGCAAAGTATGCATTCCTTTACACTCTGCTTTTTTTGGAATCTCTCCCAGAGACACACTGCACAAACTCAAAGTGATGTATTTATAAGACAATTAACTGAGATTTATTTGTAAAGACTGTAATAATCTAAACATTCATTAATAAGGGATTGGTTGAAAGACACTGGTACATCCACCAGAGAATTATGAAGTAGTAAAAAGGAATTTTGGCTATCTTTAAATACTAGAATGAAGTCATTTAAGGATATGTTTTTAAGTGAAGAAAAATTTATAATAACAATGTAAAGGTCAACTTAAGGATAAAAAATACAGTAGAATCTCTGTAAGTTGACCACATAAAGGACTATAACAAACTGGTCAAGATATGGAGGTGGTCAGCATAAGGAACTAGGCCTACTGTACTGATACATACATGTGGTGAACATCCAGTCTATGAAAATTAGGTCAGCTTAAGGAGGTGGTCAAAGTAGGGAGGAGGCCAACACTAGACATCATACTATAATTATAATAGTTACCCTTAGGGGATGGGAGACAATCGGATGGATGTCATGTGGTTAGAAGGAAGACATTGCCGAATATACTTTGCAGATTTACTTTGTACTATTGAGAATGTTTCAAATGATTCAAACTTAAAATTAACGCTAAAAAAATCACTTCTGAAATATTAAAGGAAAAGTAAAATAAAGAATCCTGTGTATTGAGTTGGAGACTTTAAGGAACTATTTAAAGTGACTTTAAAACACAGACACTTTACAAAAGTGTCATGTTTAAAGGATTTAATAAGAGAAAACTATAAAAATTCTTAAACTATTTTTAGTAATGATATTTCTATGGTAGTATTGACATTGTACTTCTGAAGATGTTTTATATACATATATATATGTATATATATATATAAAAGTATAGAATAAGTAATGATATCAACACTACGAAGGATTGAGATTTTGTGTGTGTGTGTGGGAGAAAAAGGTGCAGATGGCAGATCAATGAGGTAAATAAAAACTCAAAGTAAAAGAAGTTTCATTATGAACTCATGATATTTTTCCAATTTGTTTTTATTAACCTATCAGACTATACTAGTCACCTGTGGAAAAAAAGATGTGAAAGAATTGATTCCTTATAATACTTTTTCATTTTATAAAAAAGCCACAAGAGTCAATATATTGGCATTATATTTCTGAATATTTCCTTGTGCCCTAAGGATAAAGAACTTTCTTAAATTTGTGAGAGTAACATATATAGTAGTAAGAACATAAACACTTTGGAACTATTCTTAAAATTCTCACTGGGTGTTCATTAGACTAAAATATATTCTTAAACATGAGGAATAATTATGAAATCACTAAGAAATAAAAGTTTATCTTATGAGCTAAAACAGAAATGGATAATGTGGTAAATAAGAAAAAGCACAGAGATAATTCACCATTTAAAACAAGATCAAACTATAGATGATTTAGACCCAAGAAAACTAGTGAAAAAATTAAAAAATATATCACTTACTTTCCTTTAAAGACACATACAGAATGAAAGTGAAGGAATAGAAATAGATATTTCATGCAAATGTAATTCCCAAACAAGGAAAAGTAACTATGTTTATATCAGATAAAATAAACTTCAAGTTAAGAATCATAAAAAGAGACAAGGTAATTATATAATGACACATAGTTCAATTCAGCAGGAGATTATAACAGTTGTAAATATACAGGCACCTAACACTGGAGTACACAGAAAATATTATTAGATATAAAAGGAGAAATAGACCTTAAAGCAGTAATAGTTGGGGCTTCAACACTCCACTCTCACTATTGAACAGATCATTGAGACAGAAAATCAACAAAGAAACGTCATATTGAAACAGCATTATAGACCAAATGGATCTAATCAAAATTTACGGAACATCTTATCCAATAGCTGCATAATACACATTCTTTCATCAGCACGTGGAACCTTCTCCAGGGCAGAATAGTTATGCCACAAATGTCAACAAACTTAGGACAAAAAAACCTGATACTTTATCAAGTAACTTTTAACCACAATGGCATGAAGCTAGAAATCAATAAAAAGAGAAAGTTTAGACATTATACAAATATATGGAAATTAAACAATAGATTCCTAGTGATTAATCAGTCAATAAATAAATTAGAAATATTAAAAATGGTCTTGAAACACATGAAAATGAAGACATAACAAATTAAACCTATGGAATATAGCAAACGAAGTACCAAGAGGGAAGCTTTCTGCAATAAACGCCTCCCTAGGAAGAGTAGAAAGATTTCAAATAAACCACCTAACTATGGACCTCTAGAAACTAGAAAAGCAAGAATGTACCAAGCCCCAAATTAGCAGAAAGAAAGAAATAACAAAGATTAGAACACAAACAAGAGACTGAAACGACACAAAAGGTCAGTGAAACGGAAAGTTGGTTTCCTGAAGATGTAAAATTGACAAACCATTAGCAAAACTAATGAAAAAAGAATAAATAAAATCCCAGACAAAAAAGGAGATATTACAGTATGGACGAATGCTCAAAGAGCTAAAAGGAGACCTATTAAGTGCCCATCAGCTCACAATAGATTAAATAAACTATGGTATATGGTCTACATAGACCATGGAATACTACTCAGCCAGGAAGAAAGATGGAGACTTTACATCTTCTGTATTTACCTAGATGGATTTGAAGAACATTCTCCTAAGTAAAGTATCTCAAGAATGGAAAAGCAAGGAAAGGAAATAATTATGTCAGAGTGATATCTGCACCGCCATGTTTATTGCAGAATTATTCACAATAGTGATAAGAAGAATAAAATTCTGTCATTTATGGAAACATTGGTAAGCCTGGAGGATGTTACATTAAGTGAAACAAGCCAGGCATGTCAAGATAAATGCTATATGTTCTCATTCATTTGTGGAAGCTAAAAAAGTTGAACTCATGGAAATAGAAAGCAGAGTAGTGGGTGCTAGAGATTGGGAAGGGGACACGGTACGGGGAGAGGGCGGTTAGTGGATACAATATTACAGCTAGATAGGAGGGGTAAGTTCTAGTGTTCTATATAGCATGAAAGGGCATTATAGTTATGGGTATTCAACAATAATCCATCTTCTATTTTCAATAAGTAGAAGAGAGGATTTTGAATGCTCCCAACACACAAAAAATAAATATTTGAGATATGTTAATTACCCTGATTTGAACATTACATATGCACACATGTATCAAAATGTCACATTTTACCCCATAAATGTGTACAGTTATTATGTGTCAATTAAAATAATAAATATGTAAATAACTAATAAGCTTGAGGTAAAAAGATTTTACCTTTATATTGACAAGGAATAAGATGTCTGGAAGAGCATATAATTGAATTTAATAAATTCATACTCATTATTATATTAGAAGGAGACTCTACTCAGGTAATAAGAGCATATAATTTAGTGATTCGAACTAAAATGTCAGTTTGTAGAATATGTTCTTATTTAACAATCATATGTACTATTTTTGCCATTGCTAATGAAAGATGTTTAAACGAAAATATAATTGCATAAAGTTTTATCCAAATCAACTGCATCAATTACATTTTAATCAATTAATGAAAAAAGTGCTCAGATAATTTACAATCTAAATCGAGACATATTCACTATTAATAAACTACCACTAATAAATGTCTCCCTTTTGAGAACTGCATTAATCTTCTTGAATTATGGTGTAATAATGCATTAAATGGCTCTTTATGAGTAAATTATAACTTTAAAATGAATCATACAAATTAAAGTTGCTTTAAGCATATCAATTCATTACAATTTTTGAAATGTCCTTTTCATGTGTACAATCTCATGATTAATTTTCAGTTTAATGTACAATGTCATAAAGTAATATTACCAGTGTATTACGTTTTGCCTCATAATTACTTAGCACTCAGGTCAGTAATACAACCCTTGCAAAACTTACAAGAAATTCAATTATAGCAACAGCATAATAGAATGACTACTAAGAACAATATAGGTACGATTTTCCTATTTCTAATCCTCTAATGGTCAGTTATTTGTACAGCAACACCACCTAAATTTTATAAGTCTCATCCTAAAATTCTATAAAACAGAAATAAAAAAAATCTATTCTCTAACCCCCTACGTTTTTCACTTACACATGGACTTCAAGGTCCGATAACTAAGCTTTACCCCCAAATCTCTTCACCTTTGCACATTCTTTTCTTTTGTTAAAATTTGCATTTTATATACTTGTAAAATACATAAAATTCTAAATAATTCTATTTATTTTGAGCAATGCAGTTCAAACTCCATTCTATGTTTTGATACAGCCTCTGTAATTATTAATTTAAATATCCAAATATGTTGCTATTTTATCAGGTTATTCCTCTGCTGTTGGATGCTCAAGTTTCTAATATTGTTTGATTAGAATTCTCACATTTATGCACAATTTCTGGTTTTTCTAAATTTCATATTTGAGAAAACTGCTTTACATAATTTGAATTTATAACCATAGCACAAGTCAGCTGATTGCTTTTAAAGGAACTAAATAAATACGCTTTTTTTTTTTTTTTGCATTTTTTTGGCCAGGACTGAGTTTGAACCCGCCACCTCCTTCCTGCATATGGGGCCAGCACCCTACTCTTTTGAGCCACAGGGGCTGCCCTGAATAAATACACTTTAATGACATCTTTTATATAGTTAAAAATTAAAAGAGAAGGTTGGAAACAATTTTTATATCCATATATACGCTCCAATCGCTGCATATTCTTTTTTCTTCTTCTTTTTGTAGTTTTTGGCCGGGGCTGGGTTTGAACCCACCACCTCTGGCATATGGGGCTGGCGCCCTACTCCTTTGAGCCACAGCTGCAACACCTGCATCTTCTGTTTCACAAAAGTGAAAAGCATATAGAATTTCATTTTAAAATGAGTCTTTGATATATGAAAAATTAAGCATCTGTTTGGAATACATTCATGAATTTGTTTTCTTAATAACCCAGGTTTATTTATCTGAAGCTGACATACTGTGGTAATATTGTAATACCAATGAATATAAAGTAGAAAATACAGGGTATATATTTATTTTCCACATGAGGAAAATGACATTAGGGCACAGAAGAACAACTATTGACTTTTTACTTCTGATGCTAAAAAGTCAGGGAAAGAAAGAAATAAGCAGGAAAAATATATCTTACGGAGTTTGTAAGATCAGAAGCTGATGGAACAACTAGAAGACTCAGGCAACATTTCTTAAATAAGAATTATATATTCAATACAGTTTTCGGGATAATTATATTTCGTATGTACATTCTTTACCTTTCAGAATCTTAGCTTTGACCTTCAGAAAAGTGATTTTTGACCAGATTGCTACATTCTTGAAAGTGGTTTTAAATACAAACTTTTCTGATGCTACATTTTCTGAATCTCAAATAGTTTCCCAAACACTAACCAAACTTTGAAAAAATCTACATACAGGAAGAGTTAGCAAAAAGAGATCTTATTCACAATTAGGTAATTCTTATATTAATGTGGAGACACATAAAGAAATAATAAACTATTGTAGTTAACTATTTTGCTCCCAATTAAGATTTAATAATTTTGAATTAAATGCATTATCTTATTCCAACCTCCTAAATCTATAGAATGGAGATTGTCTTGATTTTAAAGATGAGAAATATAAGGCTCAGAGCTGTTGATTGATTGTTTAATGAAGGGGTGTGAGAGTGAATTTTAATATTAACTGAAAATTAATTTTTTGGCTGCATTTCATTTTAAAGTTGATTCAAATTTAGTATCTTAATATGTTCAAAATTAAAATCTATGCTAAAAACTAGAAGCAAGGAATAAAATGATTTCATAAATATTCCTGTTAGCTTTTAACATGTTATTTTTAGCTATTATTCAAATTCACACTATGAATTATTAGAAATACATCTTATTTTAAAAGTTTAGTTGCAATTTATTATGTGGGTTATGAGACTGTATATTTTTCTGAAGCTCTACTAATATTTCTAATTCTTAGTCGTTAGTGGCATACCATGAAGCGTTATGGAAATTAACTTACGTGTTATAGATTTGTTTACTGGATATCTGAAGAAAGAAAAAAACAACCCTTTTTTTGTTGTTTTTGTGCCGGTAAGGTGCATAAATGGGCAAGAAAAGTTCAGTCATAGTCTGGGGCTGTGAAACAACATGTGAAAAACCTTGGGCCTTTTAGAGGCGAGTTCACATTTAAAGACTTCCATTCATAATATGCAATAAAATAGCAGCAATTAACATTTTTTCCTTAAGATAAACAACAGACTAGCTTAAGACTGCTTTGATCACTTCAAATGGAATTGATTTTTATGTCTGAATCTGAACTCCTAGAATGTTCTTGTCTATTCCTCAAGACATCTAACAAGTGACTGCTTTTATCTGAAGCTCTCACTATTCCTCCTTACAGAATATACAAAAATAGATCTTAACTGCACTTTTCAACTTCCTATGCTCCTTCTCATGTTTAAGTCACCTAAAACATACTGTAACTTTGTAGATACAGTGATTCTCATTTTAATAATGAGGAAAAGTAAGACTGGCAAAGTCTTATCCACAGTTATATAACATATAAAGAGCAGACACCAAACTCTTAAGTGTAGCACTTTCAAATAGTATTCAAGTGACTGTGGTACGTTTATAGCTCTGAGCCTTTCTTAGCACCTAGTAGGTAGGTTTCGTTTGAATATCTCCTTTATTCAGAATGTTCAAAATTTGTTTCACGGTATATCAGACAATTGTCCTCCCCTCTGCAGTTTTGTTCTATAAATCCTTTAGGACATGATATGATTACATCCATGCATATGACCACCGTTTTATAAAAGTAGAACTAATGGAAAAAATAATAATATATAATAATAGTCATAACAGAAAATAAGTGAAGATTATTTCATTTCTCCATCAATTTTAAAGCTTAGCTTAGCAAGATACAGAATTCTGGGTAGAAAATTGTTTTAAGACAGTTAAAGGTTGATGATGACCATCCTTTCTGGCTTTAAAAGTTTCATTTGAGAAGTCCGTGGTCACCCTGATGGATTTGCCCCTGTAGTTCAGAATCTTCTCTTTAGTCTTCACTTTGGAAAGGTTCATGGAGAAGCTCTGTTTGAGTTGGGATCACCTGGGGTTCGATATCCCTCTAAGTAGTGTGTGGGAATCTTTGGTGATATTTGGGAAATTTTCATTTGTGATAACCTCCAGCAGGGCTTCCATTCCTCTGGGGAGTTCTTCATCCCCTTCTGGGATCCCTGTAATTCGTATGTTTGAAGTCTCATAATTCTCTCAGTGAACGTTCTGCTTTCTCTCTCTCTCTCTTTTTTCTGCCTCTTTAATTGCCTGTGTGAACTCGAGAGCTCTATCCTTTAGCTCTGAGATTCTTTCTTTTCCATGGTCTAAAAGCGATGATTAGATGCCATGAAGTAGATGGCAATGTCTTAACCGTATTCATTTTATCAGGCCCGAGGACATCTTCCACCCTTGTCAAGGGGAGTGCTAACCTTCTTTCCTTTCACACAACACTAAAGATTATTTCTTTTTTTTTTTTTTT